CTCCCCCCCCCCCCGGTCTCCCCAGGACCTTTCCCTCTTTCTCCTGCCAGTTTTGAGGCAGTTGCAGCTTCTCATAAGCGCTGTGGCCTGAGAAAAATGAAGGCATCCATTACTTATAACCTCTCAGCATTTCAGAGGAAAACGGTTGGCTAGGGCTGCCAAGATCCAGCAAATATTTGGTTAGCTTGGAAAGAATGGGCAGTCATTTTCCAGTTCTCACAGATTTCTGTATGCCCAGTTGCTTTTATTAAAAACGTTAAATCCAGAGATAAAGTCGAATGGCACTCCAAGCTCCCAGCATTCATCTGTATCCAGGGGAGCAGAACCCAAGATCTAAACAGGGTAAAGCTCAATCAACAGAACCCATGAGTCCCCTCTAGGAGCAGGGCCCTAGGTAGCAGAAGAACTATTAGAGTGGCTCCTATCAATAGCTTTGAGTGGGTATTTATGGGATGGGCTGGAGACCCTCTTTCAGTTGAGGGTCAGTACACTGTGGCCCTCAGGCTAAATCCTGCTGACCACTGTGTCTTGTTTTTATACAATGTGTGAATTAAGAATGCTTTAAAGAAAAATAAAATCCTTTTGAAATAGTTGGATTTCAAAAACTAAGAATATCTGAAAACGAGGGGGAGGGAGTTTCAGATTTGCATTCATCAGGAAAATTTCGTGGGAAGGAACACTGCCACGCCTGTGTATCTGTACATTGTCTGCAGGCGCTTTGAACTATGGTGGCAGAGGAGGTGCAAAGGGGACCAGGTAGCCCTCCACATATAAAATATGCACCATCTGGCTTTCTGCAGAGGCAGGCTGCAGAGGCCAGGAGTGGGGATGAAAGACTTGGTGCTCTGTTATCTGAAGTAAAAACTATAAAATATATATGCACAGTAAAATAATTCTAAAACCAACACCTGGGTACCCTAGCACTTGGACAAAGAGATGAAGCACTGTCTCTCAGCAGCTGTGTCCCAGGAGCCTTTCCCAGAGTTAGTGCTTTGTGGTAATATTTTCCTTGTTTTTCTTTGCAGCACAACCACCTAAACCATACCGTGGAATTGAATTTTGCTTGTTTTAAAGTAGCTATTAATAAAGCCACACTGAGTGGTCACTTCCGTGCCTCTTTTGATCGGGTTCATGAGGCTGCTGGGTGGGACCCCAGTCCTGTCACACACACACACACCCCTTGTGGTATATCATTCATTACAACATTAATGCAAGGCTCCTTGGTTTGTTTTCCTATTAGTCAGTAGTTGAGTCATTTCTAGTTTGCAACTATTGTGAAGAATGGTGCGATGAACATCTTGCATCTGAGGTATTCTTGACTTCAGACTATTGGCAGAGAAATGGCATTGTTGAGACATGGGATCTACCTACCACCAACTCTTCCACTTACAGTCCAACCATTCCCTTGGGGGTTGGAAAAAGTCACATCTACAGTAGCTGTTGTTTGAGGAAGCCAGGGAGTCCCTTCATCCTGTCAGTGCCTGCTCTCTGACCTCAAGGAACCCAACAGGGTATGCAGCCATTGTCTAGGGTCCCTTGAAATAACTCTTGAGTCTTTGGACAAATGCTCCTCGGAGGGAACATTTCCTTTTGATTTTCAAACAAGTCTATGTAGCCCAGGATGGCCTCAAACTCACAACCATGCCTTTGCCTTCTGAGTGTTGGGACTGCAGGCAGGTGCCAGCCCTCCCAGATGATATGGTGACCCTTGTAAGTGCCTGTGTTTGGCTGGTAGGCTGGTGCATGTCAAACCAGCCTTGACCATGCTCACTGATGCATAGGTGTAGAGCAGTGGTCCCCAGCCTTCCTAATGCCACGGCCCTTTAATACTCATGATGTGGTGACCCCCTACCATAAAATGATTTTGTTGCTACTTCATAACAGTAATTTTGCTACTGTTATGAATCATAATATAAATGTCTGATATGCAGGATATTGTAACTTCCCAGGTTGAGAAGCGCTGGTTTAAAGGAAACACGGTATAGCAAGAGACTAGGTGGCCTTCTAAGAATAGAACATGGGGGTGGAGGGTGGGGGGTGCAGGGACCACTGTTCTCACAGAGCACCAGGTATTCTGACCCTGATTCTTGAAAGCTGATGGTGCTGGGTCTTCCCCAGAAGGTTTTAGGACTATGGAGCTGGAAATGCACTCCTCCCACCGCGGCATGCTGAAAGCCCAGCACCTGGGCTGGCAAGCTCTAGAGGCATTGCTGAAGCGTGATGTAGCGCTACATTGAAAAGGCACAAATAAACTCCGAGCCCTTGCACACATTTATCCAGTTTGTGAAGTGGATTAATAGAATAACCAATAAAACATGTATAAAAGCTTTAATTAAATGTGATGAAATAAAACTTCATGTTTTATTTATGGACACTCCCAACATGTAAAGGATTCAGGGAGACATTCATTTTTACTGCCATTTCGTCCTCATATCTATAATTAAATCCAGGCTTCAGTTCTGGCCCAAAGCAACGCGGCATTTTAAAGCTGGCCTCGGACACCCCCCTTCCCATCTGCTTTTAATTATAATTACCATCCCCAATACAGAAGAGGCTGGTGACAGAACAAAACAGAACAATAAAACAAACAAACAAACAACACTGGTCGCCATTGTGTTTTAAAGCGACGGCGCTGAAGGAGCGCTTCAGGCAGGAGGGGCATCCTCTATTTCCAGTTTTATTCTGTGCCAAGTACACAATCCCTTCATTTTACTTTTGACATAAAAAAAAGGACTTCATGAAACAAGACAAAATAACTTATGATTATATGAAACATAACTGTGACAAATCGCAAAACTATACATATTAATAGAAAAAAAGTGTACCTAATTCCTTGAAAGATTTACGACAACCAGCACCAGATGTATGTCTACAGTCAAACCGGCCCCGTATCCAGTATGATATACGCAGCACATTTCTCTACGTGAGTACACAGAACAATGTACAAGGGCCTGCGTGATCTATGGAAAACAGATTTCCCCCCCCCCCCCCCCCAAAGTGCTTTATGTCAGCAATATTACAGAGGACACTTCTTTGTACAAAATAAATCTCTTCATTTTTACACTCACCATTTTAGTCAATGAGTTTGGGTTTTCTCTTTCCCTGTTACTTTATCTACGGCAATAACAGCAATGTTCTAAACAGTCAAATCAAACCAAACACCAAATAATAAAACTGAACATTACAGAGGCTATTGTCAATACTTCCAGGCATTCGGGGGCGAGGAAGGGGTAGGAGTTCTATGACAGGTTATAGCCTTGTTCCATGCCTGTAGTAGTGAACTATTGACAGTTGACTTTAGGACTGAACATAACCAAACCTGTTATCAGGAGATGTTATGCTGTAGTCTATCACATACTTTTATTTTTCACTTTAGAATCACCTGGGCCATGTGGCATAGACCGACCATACTGGACTATACCTCATAGGGCCATGGAATATTGAAACAGTTTTTAAGTGCTGATCAGAGGGTAAATGACAAGTGACACTTTGATACAGTCCTTTTAGGGACTTAAGACAATGGATGAAGCAATGATCTTTTTCATGTAATAGGATAATTGGATTTGTGCTATGTGTTTTCACTAGATGTTAGTGTTTTGTTTGTATTTTTGCATTTAAAGGCAAATGACAATTTCCAGTTGGATGTTTATGAAAATGGCTACCCACCAAGGGACTAAAAGGGCCTAGGAATGGAAGGGAATAATTTATGTTTTTTAAGTTCTAGTTTCGCTGCTTAAAAATAAGGATGCAACCATGTAGGCCAAAGTGAGGGACACATTTTTAACCTAAGGAGAAATTCTGGAACCTAAGGATAGACACTTTGTACAAACTGAAGGACCCTGAATGTACCATGTCACTAGGCTCTGACCCCCAGACCAGTGGCTATCAAGAATACACTAGAGGGCTTTGGGGGCTGCACTGGACCTGGCTCCAAGCATGCTTCTTTGTGACAGCAAGAATATCCCTTGGGGCTGACTGTGGGACTTGGGGTGGATGTATGACCTAGTCAGAAAGCCTTGATGACACCAGATCCTTCTAGATGATCCAGGAAAAGGGGCCATGCCATGTGGAAGGCCACCATGAGTCCAGAGCCTGGCTCCAGAGCCTCACGTTTCCACCACAGGGGGAGATGTCATTTGTGGTCTGTGTTTCTGTTCCTTTCTATGACTTTCCTACTTAAGTAATTCCAGAAGGTAGAGTGGAAAAGATCAACTGCCTTCCACCTGTTCTTTCCTTATCACCCCAATGAGATCTGCCTGGAGGTCCTTGCAAATGCTTTGGGGTTTACCAACTGATGATGCTTATCGTGAGAGTAGGGTCTCCTTTTCCTCCTGGAGTGTGACAGAGGTCAAACGAGGGTTGTTGTCAAGTAAGTCAGTATTAACATATGTGTGTTCCTGCTTAGCCCAAGTGTACTGACCTACCAGATCTACAAGGGTGGTGGTTTCCAGCAGCCCAAGGGCTCACCTGTGGAGGAAGCCTGACATGCTGTACTTTCATCTTCAAAGATCAGAAGACCTAAGAGAATTCAAAGTCTTGTGACCTGGATGTCTACACAATAGTTTCCACCAAGAACACGGTTTCTTCAGCAACTCCAGAACAAACGATGAGCTGTGAAACTAGAACCTATACTTGGTTGTTTATCTACCCTATCCATGTTCCAAGTAGCATCTTGGAACAAAGCATGGAGTGAGGTGGAACTCTTTTGACTGGGGGCTAGACTCAAAGGTCTGTCTATTGGGGTATAAGTCTCGAGATCGCAAGACACTGAACTATTTAAAGTCCCAGTGGCCTCAGTTCCAGAAAGAACTTAGCTTCAGTTCTGTTAAAGAAGCATTTTTTTTTAAGGGGGGAAAATCCTGAAATGTAAGCAAACTAGAATGTTGGAATTGACCAGCTTTTTGGAGTCTGGTTTATTTGTATAGCCTTTGCCCTAGGACATAGGATCTTCTTAGTACCTTTCTAAAAGTTGTCCCTGGAAAATGATGTCTTGTTTAGACTTAACATAAAATGGCTATGTGCTTTGTGAAAAAAAGGCCAGGCCTTCAAAGCAGAGTTCCAAAAAGTTGCTTTCTTGAGTCTGCCTTCTGTGAACCTTCCCAAGAATTGACAGGATTTAATTTGATAGTAGGCATGTCTGAAATCCAGCTAGGAAGGAGGTGAAAACAGGAGGGCACTACAGAGGAGACAGACAGATGAATGGATCCCTGTAAAGAACTGGGCAGAGGCACACAAAAGAACTGCACAACAGGTGCCCTTGGTTTGGTCTCTGAACAAACCTACGCACATGACTCAACGTGTCCCAGCTCTCATGTTTCCTGGTCTGTCCAGGGCAGAGCACCAGAGATTAGGAAATGTAGGAACCATTCAAATGGAATGGTTTTCAATCTGGAGTCACTGAACCATCAATACATGAGGGTTATTTATTTATTTATTTTAAGATGGTCTCAATATGTAGCCCTGGCTGACCTGGAACTCACTGTGTAGACCAGGCTAGTTTCAAACTCAGAATGCCTTCCAAGTGCTGGAGTTAAAGATATATACCATCACACACAGCAAAGGAGGGCAGATAGAGAGGGGCGTGTATGTGTTAACTACTCTGTTTCCCTCAGATAACCTTTGCTAGACTGGAAAATTAGGCCAGGGAGAGCAACAGCTGTGGTAAAATACATGTAGCTGGGGTGATTAAAATGGTAATGACTTATACCAAAAGAACAAACCTTTAAATATTTTTCCTTTAAAAGTAGATGTAAAAAGCAAGTCTTTAAAGTTCAAAAACAAAGTAGGCTGCCAAACATAAAACCTTATTTTTGCCACTGGAGGAGCAACTGGGAAGCAAGTAGTTAGCATGGGCTATGTAAGACCAATGTTAAAGCTAGAGTTTCAGAGAGTCCAAGCCACACCTGCTTTGAACACGGATTTCCCTCAGTATTCATGGCTGCACATCACTCAGCCGTGAGGGAAAGCATGGGTGAGGCTGTACACTCTGCCTCTGGAACCTGGGCAGTCTTCCTCTCGTTAAGTCTTTGGAGTCTTTAGCAAGGGTCACGATCTAGTCCTGTGCACATTCATTGGTCTTTCCAGAGCTGACAGCCAGGAAGTAACAGGTGTCTTTAAAGTGAGACTCTAAATTCCCTTTGAAAAGAAATTCCTGCTTGTCACCTGGCCCAGCAAACTGAGGGGGGATGGAAGAGGTGCAAGCATTCCAGAAAAGTCAGATCCGACCATCCAGTTCTGCCTTCCAGAGACCCAGTGACTCTACTGGCTCCATGGATTTGGTTGGCATCCTTCACAAGGCTTATGAGGGTATGAAAATGAGAGGTGACTAGAGACTCCAAGGTCCTGGATATGCAGGAGAGGCTTGGGGAGCCTTCAGCCTTCGGTATACACGGAGGAGAGCTGGCTAGGACAGCGGTCCACAGCGCTGAGCTGCAAGAACGTGGGATCTTCGGGGCCACTGCGAAGAGGTTCCCCAAAGAGGCTTGAAGAAGCCGAAGGCAAATCGTACACTGGAAGAGAAAGAACACAGGCAGTCAGCCAGTCCCTGCATTGTGCAGCCCCATGGCTACACAGTACACCCACGCTGCCTACAGGTGCTGGAGGGAGCTAAGGCTTCGGCCTTCTAAGTGTGTCCCTGATAAACAGAATGGGAAAAGACTGGCTTGCATGGATGTGCCTTAACATAAAATATGATTTCAGCTCAAGTAAAAGGGTTTTAGGAAGGGATGAGGGTGACCTAAAGGCAGAGAAGGGTCACATGGGACCAGGAATATGAGTATACACCAGGATAGGGGGAAAATGAAGGGAGAGTCTGTGCGGGCAGGATTGGAGAACTTGACTAAGTAAAATCACATGAGTCTCAATGCTGTGCCAGGGAAGAGAGTGTAAGATGATATGACTAGGATATTCTAGCAAGAAGGTGAACTGCGGAGGAGTATTGGAAGGAACTGCCACCACCTAGGGGAGAAATGCTGGCCCCTGTGCAGGTAGGCAAAGGGGTGAGAGCCAGGGCAGAAGGTGAAGATGAGAACTGTCTCAGAGGTAGTTCTACTGGATTCTACATGGTCCCTGCCAGCCACAGGAAATATACCCGGCTTCTTTTCTTCTTGGCTAGGTCGCAGACACCCACCTGTAATGCCTGAGTGTGTTGAGAAGGCTCTATGGAAAACATCAAAACCGGCCTGACCCATGGTCGTGGGGACCAGGCAGTCCTCAAAGGAAGGCACCATACTGCAGGAGCTGCTGGGTGGCACAGTTCTCTGGGAATCAGGGTAATGCGGGGGACAGAAAGTCTGCAGCTGGCCATAAAATCCTGAAATACAAGTATAGCAATGAGCTACTTCAGGGCAGAAACCATCCCTACCCAGGAAGAACCTCACCGAGTCAAACTAATTTGACATCTTTGCATCTTCGAGTACCTGGGACGTCTTGGAAAACAAGTGTTTGGATGAGCTTCGTTCAAGGCTTGCTGGCTTGTGACAATTTTAGGGAGCAATGTTGCCATCCTAGTCCCTTCCACTGGGATTTGCATGCATCTTAACTTCCTTTATCCTGCATTTCAGTTCATTTCCACATTTGACCAAAACCCCACAGAAGGCCCCTAAGCATGCCCACCATAAATACAAATGAACAATCCCGAGCACAGAGCCATCTCTAGCTTTCCAATACTTCGGTCTTCCTTGCGGTTTTAAGTAGGTTCCTAGTATCTCACAACTGGATAAACTGGAGCCCATTTCACTATTACTGTTTCTGATTCTTTCAGTAAAAGGGGAAACTGGAAGTGGGGGACAATACTATGACAAAGAAATGAAGACATCCCAAAGATATCACCACCAACCTACCGATAAGCATACTTCCTCTCTCCCCGCCATTTCTGCTCTTATTCACTAGCATTTTTCTCGCATTCCCACATGGTCCTTTTCTATGATCCTCCACACCCTGCTCGATTCCTCCCTTACTTCTTCCCTTTCTCTCTTTGCTGCATGACAATGTGTATCAGTGGATTACTTTCTGAGCGTGTAATATGCTTTTAAAAACATAATAATGCAATCTTCATTCCACACTCTATTGATGGGGAGCTGAGGCCCTGCTGCTGTCTGAGGCTGCTCTCCATTGTGTGTTTCCTCAGCTGTAAAATGTGAGTGCCATTGTCTGCCGCACAGGGCTATTGTGTAGACCGACTGGGTTATTGGATAAGGAAGCAGGCTTATAATGTTTTAAAGTGCTTTAGAAATGTCAGTCATTATTGATATTACCATTCTGGTTTTAATGGGGAAAGTGAGGGGATTACTAGAGGACGTACCCTAGGATTCCTTGGCAAACACGACAAACTGATGGAGGAGACAGAACCCAGTTCACACAACTTTGGAACCCTGGTCTTGAATGTCTTCCACCATTACAGCCTTCTCCTCTTAAGACTGGAACACTCTGTGGAGACTCTCCCAAGGCGGGAAGAGTGGTGCTATTTGTTTCTCCTTAGCTCTCTTTTAAATTCAGGGAAACTGGGTACATGCACCCCACCACAAACGCAACCTTCTCCTTGCTTATTTGGAACCTTAAGCTACCTAGAAAATACCTGGCTCACCTTGGCCGAGGGCTGTTCTACAGTTTGCTGTAAACATCACTAAAAATGTGTTTACCCACTAGTGGAGACACAGATCCCACCCTCTAGGAGCTGATGATGTAAGGCAGAGAACAAATGCAGATTTCCACTCTGGGCACATTCACACTAGAGTATAGTCACTTGTAAGTGGGTAACAGTACATGTTATATAGAATCCACAGAAAACATTCATGTAAGGTTTGGGAAAAGAAAGGCAAAGCATCATCAGAGCATCATTATAGTTTTGTAATTTATCTATGGAAATTCCGTATCTAAGCAGAGAGAAACATTAAGTAATGACTTCTGGTTTCGATTCCCAATGGCTTTACATGCTTTTAAATGAGACAGGCCAAAATCAACAGAGATAACTCTCAAATACTCAAATAACTGACCAGAATGAAGGTCAACCCCCTAGCCAACCAAGAAATAGACTTTAAAATAACAATAACATTTCATAGTCTTATGTATTACACTGGCATAGATCACTCCTTGGGGTTGAAGTGTGACTATTGAAGGTACCTGCTTAGCTTTATAGACACTGGCAAAAGTAGATTCCATTGCCCAGATCCTTGGACAAGATCTGACTACCTTTAACTAGAAGTATACCCACGAATTTATTCCCTTGGACTTGAGTTTTCCATCTGAGGATCAATAATCCTAAGAGTACTCTTTCTGAAGAGCACCTTCTGCCGAGACAGTCACTGCAACATGAATGATGATGAAGCCACAAGCCAAATGGCCAGGCATCAAAGAATGTCAGAGCACAGAAAGGTGCATTTCCTGGTGAGAGAACTGAGCAGCTCTCAAAACAGTGCCACCAAGCACCCTAACAACACCATTCAGTTTTGTCTCATTTTTTAAAAGGCAAGAAACCAAATTATTATTTTATAAAACATCAAATTGTAAAGTCTACACATAGGATGAACACAGCAAAATACTTTTTCTTTTTTTTCCATTTTTATTTTATTATTATTATTATTATTATTATTATTGGTTTTTCGAGACAGGGTTCTCTATGACTTTGGAGGCTGTCCTGGAACTAGCTTTTGTAGACCAGGCTGGTCTTGAACTCACAGAGATTCGCCTGCCTCTGCCTCCTGAGTGCTGGGATTAAAGGCATGTGCCACCACCGCCCGGCCAAAATACTTTTTCTATGGTTGTCTTTTTATTCTGTTTCTGCCTACATTTTAATGGTAAGTAGTAAGTATTGTAGAGTCTACCTGCCTGGGTTCAAATCCTCACTAAAACACATAGCAACTGCATAGTCTTGGTGTCTCAGTGTCTTAACTTGTAAAATGGGGTTAGCGGTAGTGACAATCTCACACTGAGTTACTACAAAAATCATACAAAATACAAGTTAACATTTACAAAGCATATAATTATGTTATCTATATTTTAATAATATAATTTATGTATGTATTTGCAAAATAGGCAACATGTTAAGCAACGTCACTTCACCATGAAAATACAGCTCTCAAAAATAAGGTAAATTTGATTATGGGAAATTAAATTTTCAAAAAGGCAAGATGTCCTCCAATAAACAAATATCCTTCAATAAACAAATGTAACTATAGGCAGTAAACCCCAGTATGGAATTAAGACTGAATGATTGTAATCTTAGAACATATCACACATTGAAGAAAAGGGAACACATGGGCTCATTGAGATATGAACTACGGTTCCCAGACACTGTGTGAGCTAGTATGTACCATGACTTCTTCATTCACCTCAGCAGGGCCAGAACAAGAAGTCTAAGTGGTTTGAGAAGCAGAAATTGGATCTGTCAGTCTGGGTCCTCCCTTTGACAGATCTTGACTTTGGGTCCCCATAGTCATAAAGGTAGCATGGGTACATCAGGAAGAAATGATGACCATGCTCTATTGGAATGTGATGTCTCCTTACTGAGGAAAACAGACATTTGCTATCTACAGCTCCATGCTGGCTCCCTTCAAATTTGTCACCCATAAATCCCCTCGTATCGCTCCTCAGTGTGACATTACCCTTCCAAGAAGAGGAGGCATTTTTCACTGAACTCCCACGGCTCTTCAAACAGGAACATCAATCATTCAGGTGCCACGACAGAGATACTCACTGGCCTTTTGTGAAAACTAATTCATTCTTTTCCCTATCTTCCCTCCTGTTTCTGAGAGGGAGCAGAAATGTCACATCTGTATTCTGGTGTTGTGATGTGCATAAGTTTAAAAGGTTTGAGACACAGGAAAATACACCCAGAATTCTGGGCTTTAGATCCCAGCTGGGACCTGAGGAAGGAGACAGCAAAGGAGACTATGATTCCTGTCTGGGGACTGTGATTGAATTGAGAACCTATCAAAACCGGAATGTCCCTACAAGCATGTTTAATTACTCTAATAGCTAACCTGGGGAAGGAGATGCTCTTCATTAATGACACCCTACCCGCTTCAGGTAGCCTGAATAGATTAATACATTGCTGGATGATGGTGGTGGCGGCAGGTCAAATCAAAGATTTTTAACATTTTCTCCTCTTACTGCTGTCCATAAAACTAACATGATTTTTTTAAAAAAAATTTCCATTAGGATCTTGCCACACATATAAACCTAGAGAAAGCCCAACTCATTTTCCGATGAATGGTTCCTGTATTCCAGTGGATGGTTTTCAAACAGCAAATTTGGAAAGAGTATGACTTCTCAGACCCAAAGCAAAATGAGGCAAAATGTTAGCACATTTTGTGAGCATAAAACCTAAGAGTGATGGCAAGGTCAGCCAATCTGTCAGTCAATTAGTTAGTAATGGTTATCAACTGCTGGTTCAAGAACAGCTGGAGAGACCAAAGAGATGGAAGACAGTACCTGCCCTTGAGGACTGACAATGGATGGGGGCACAGAAAAAAACACAAGCTGACACAAAAGGCTAGCTATCACAGTTACTTACAAACTCCACCCCTCTTTCTTTCTTTCTTTCTTTCTTTCTTTCTTTCTTTCTTTCTTTCTTTCTTTCTTTCCAAGTCATTTCACTTCCAAGAATGGGAGGGGCAGACATAAAATTCATCTCATTTTATCTAAAGTGAAGCATCTAGAAGATCAAGGAGACTCATTCCTCCTAGTCCAACTCATTTTCAATTTTGGCAAGTTCATTTTTCTTTCTAAAAACAAAGTTGCTTTCCTAATTATAAAAAGATTTGGAGCTAATTATAAGAATAATGTAGCCTGGTATAAACAATGAATGAAAGAAATTATCTTTATTTACATAGTTGAGAAATGGCCAGATAAATGCCTTTACAACTTTGAACCGTATGCACACACCCGTGCATGCGTGTGCACACATGCATGCACAGACACACACATATATACATAAGAGTGGGGAGGAGGTATAAAGCATATAATACATGTGAAAATGTCACAGTGCAATTTATTACTTTGCAAGATGGCTAAAACTAATATATAAATTAATACATATGACATTATTTGCATCCTTTTTTTGTTTGTTTGATTTTTCGAGACAGGGTTTCTCTGTGTAGCTTTGGAGCTTATCCTGGCACTCACTCTGGAGACCAGGCTGGCCTCGAACTCACAGAGATCTGTCTGCCTCTGCCTCCTGAGTGCTGGGATTAAAGGCATGTGCCACCAAGCCTGGCTATTTGTATCCTATTTTATTCCCTACAACTACCTGCAAATTTCTTCATGTATCACTATAACACATTCCTAAAAGCTTTTTTCCATACTTTGTCACAT